CAGAGGCAGGCAAAAACACTTAGTCATAAGTAAGCACCCTGTGGGTCCCCATCCCTGGGCTTGGGGGCAGGCATGAGGCCATGGTCCTGGGGACAGCTGTGTCAACTGACATAGCACAGTCCAACAGGAGGACCAGGGGCCTGAAACTGTGTGTGGCCCACCATCCACAAAGTGACCACGGGGCTCCTCTGTCCACGCGTGAAGAAAATCCCAGGCTCGTGGAACAAGTCCTGCAAAGGACTCACGGCCGGCCAGCTCCAGAGCAGACACACTGACACACCGAGTCTCTGGTCAGGCTCACAACAGGCGGCCACGGACAAAGGGGGAGAAATGTAGAACCAAGTCCACACAAAAGGCCAGGCTTGCTTGTCTGATAGACGATGGTCCTCAGAAGTCCTCCCCCCACACGAGCAGTGGCTGGAACATGAACAAGGTCTGTGCTGAGGAAGGCGCCCGGACAGATGGACGGACGGATAGATGGACAGACAGCTGCAGGGGCCCAAAGTGGGGAGCCCCTGGGGTGCATTTAGGAACATCACTATGTGTCAGGGAGACACCGGTTATGCCCAGGCATTAGAGAGTTCTGGAGGGCAGGAGTGGTGGGGAGACGCCGGCAGTGGCCCAGTGGTGATGTGCTAGGCTGCTAACCACAGGTCAGCAGTCTGAAACCACCATCCGCTCCTCGGGAGAGAGACAGGACATTCCTGCTCCCCACTCCCTGGTGTTGTTCCAGCCCCGGGACAGCCGGTAGTGTTGGATGGAGACCCCATGAGGAATAAGGAACTGGGCACAGAAACGGCCAGAGCCCAGGGTGGAGCACCGCGGTGAGGGTGGCCACGCGCATCCTGTGGCCACTAGGGCGGCACCAGTGGTTCTCGGCATGGTCAGCAAAGTTCTGGTCAGTACCAATCGTGAGGAAGGGCTGTGCTGCAGCTTGTATCTATCTGTCTCACACCTGAACAGAGGCACCCCTGCCCGCCCCGGACAAGGGCTCTGGAAACAGGTCCTCAGAGAGGAGGCAGCCAGACCCACTGCCTGAGCAGGGCCAGGCGGGACGTGCTGGCCGACAGTGAGGACGTCAGGTGTTAGCCTGAAGGAGGTTAAAACAAGAGCCCACTCACCCTGAAGGGAAACCGTTTAAGGATCGAGCTTCTGAAACCACTCCAATAACGCCCATGAGGAAGAGCGGTGCCTTCGGACCAGCACAGGAGGGCACCCTGCAGAGCTGGGCGAGCTGACCCATGGCGGGCCAGTGGCAGGGCAGGATGCCACATCCGAGCAGCTAATGAGAAGGCAGGCCAGGTGGCAGAGAGGTTGGGTGCGGCCCGCTGGAAGGAGGCTGTCCTGATCTAAGAACCATACATACCTGAGCTATCACCCGTTACAAAGAGACCTGGTAGCTGGGTGGTTCCGAGCTGCGCTGCTATTTGCAAGGTCAGCAGTTCAAACTCAGGAAAAGACGAGGCTGCCTGCTCCCAGAGTCACAGTCTTGGAATCCCACAGAGGCAGTCCTGCCCTGTCCTGTAGGTTCCCTGTGAGTCGGCATCGAGGGCCCATTACAAAGCACAGGTACTGTGTCGGCGTGCTGGCTGCTGCGAGTCCTCAGAGGAAAAGTTAAAGAGACAGCAGGTGTGCCTGACCTCCCCCTCCCGGGAGCCCACCTGAGGTGGACACTGACTCTCTGCCTCATAGGGAGTTAGCAGAGGTCAGGCTCCCTGGCCACGCCAGTTTTACGTAAGCAAACGCAGCAGCGGCAGCCCTGGTGGCAGCGGCTAAATGCTGGGCTGCTCATGGGCAGGCTGGCGGTTTGAGCCCACCAGCCCCTCTGTGGGAGAAAGACCTCAGGTTCAGGAAGCCCCAAGCAGGATGCACGAGGGGGCCGTTCCTGAAGGGTCGCGGCCTAATGGCCGGTGCGTCTGCGTGTTTGCTGAACTAAGAGAACTCCCCCACCCCCACCCCCAGCACATCATCCCGCACACAAGGTAGAGGCTGCAGGGCTCAAATGGACGATACTTCCAAAACCACAACTTCACGGGCAAATGAAACCCCTGGGCGCAAGCCCACACTCAGGACGAGCAAGGCTGTCCGTGGCACTGCCACCTCCTCAGCAGAGGCCATCCAGCCTCTGTGACACCTCCCTCCCTCCTTCCCAGAGGCAGCCACGCCCAACCCCCTACCACCACCCCTCCCTTTCAGACGTCCAGCATGCCTTGGGGCAGCCTGTCTTCCCAACAGTGATGCTTCAGAGACGCAAGACAGGACTCTCCCCGAACCCTCGGTGGGGAGAGTGCAAAAACGCTCAAAACACTCTTCTAGGGCGCCGACTTGGGAGTCCGAACCAGGTCTACGTTTGGAAAACACATGAGCAGGGTTTCAAGGGGTGACTGGGAACGAACTCTTCGGAATGCAAAATGCCCAAACTCGAGATTTCACCAGTACAGGCAACGGGCTGACCACCGGCAGGCCTTCGAGTTCAGCCTCCGGAGGAGCACAGCACTACCGTAACGTTAGCGGGAGGGCAGAGGGCAAACAAAACACCAGCTCAGTTCCCAAATCAGGAGGCCATGGCCTCGGGGCTGCTCACACTCACTCTGGTTATTAAGGGACGCTTGGAATTAGCCAATTTTCCAGGGACGAACAAAAACAATGGCTGCGGCCCAGCAGCTCCTCAAAAGTCAATGGAGAAAACACAAGCGTTTTCTGGCGGAGACAGAAGATTTCATCCCATAAAAAATGCACCCTGCTTCCCGCGAACAACACGCCGACCACAGCACCACCTCACCAGAGGGGTGGGGAGACCTGAGCGGGCACTTCACACACATTACCTCATTGTTGTAACGGACACTGGGAGGCCAGGGCACCTGGCCAAGGCCACACAGCTGGGAAAGGCAGCCCTGGGACCTGGGGGACAGCTGGGCCCTTGATGCCGGGCTGTTTTGTTGGCCGGAAAGGCCTCTCCCCAATACAGGAGACTCTTGTTCTGGACGTAGCTCAGCCACCATCTTCTGCTGCGTCTGTCCACACGCACGTCAGGAAGCACTTCGGCAACGGCTGCACGTGACCAGCACTGGAACCGCAGGCTGGCAGCCCGGGAAACTGCCCCCTGGGGGCTGGAATTCCTCCGCCTGCCTCTGATTCACTCAGCCTCCTGCCAAGCGGCTGAAGTGGCAGCCACCAGGGCCCAGCCTCCAGGGGCTCACACCTGGCCCTCCCAGCTCTCTGCCTGGCACACACACGAGCATTTGGGGGAAGGAGTATGCACACACAACCGAAGGATGCATTTTTTTTTTAAAAAACATGCTATCTTTCCAAAAACAGTGATTCTGGAAGGAAACTGCCCCAGAATAAGGGCAGAGGGCACTAGAAACCCACGTATACACCCCAGCCACTTCCTGGGGGAAGACATTCTTTAAAGGCCACGGTCCCAGTGGACCGACCGCCAGAAGGCGAGCAGGCAGGAGGGAAGCTGCAGAAGGCTGGCTCTGCTCGGCCCATCAAGGCAAGGTCACATCCAGTGTGCTAACTTCACAAGCCCACTGGAAAGCCAAGAGCTAAAAGACACCGCGGAGAGGGTGCAGTGTGGGGCGTGCTCCCCAACTTCCCAAAGGAAAAAACGGCTGACAGCTGCAACCTGCACCCCAGATGGGGCCGGGGAGCAAGTTGTAACCCAGGTAAGCCAGGAGCAAGGCTACGGGGGCCTGCTGGGGACAAGTTTGTGCCCCAGGCGCTTGGAGTTTTGAAACCTCTCAAGATTTGGGGACATTTCACGGTGCGCCCGTAGCTGAGAAGAGGGCGGTGGGGCGGCTCGGACCTCCATGATCTTTTTTCCTTACATTTCTCCCCAACTTTCTGAAGCTTCCTAGCCCATGCAAATACCCTTCCTACAGGCAGATGGGGTCTCTACACACACACACATCCAAAGGGGCTTTCAAAAAGGCACCGAGAAGACCAAGGCAAGCCCTTCACACACACATGCACACTTGCACACACACCTGTGCACAGACACACACACCCCACCCCACCCCGGGGGCGCCGCGGGTCAGAGCACCACCGGCAATCTCTGCCTCCCTCCCCTCTTCTGGCAATCACGGCCAGATTCGGAAAGGAGGTGACAGGCGTAAAGTGGCAGTCTTATCTTCCACCCAAGGGCCCGATTAAGGGGACAAAGGCCTTATCTCTTTTCCAGGCGACAATCTGCGGCCAACGGCACAAAGAAGTCATGAACTTGCTCGGCGAGCGGAAAGGAGAGGGCTGGGCGCTAACAGCGGTAAGTCCCCCCACTTCTCTCCCCCATCACAAGGCCTGCCGCCTCCCTGGGCAGGCTAGCGGGGCCTCCGCCTGGCCCTTTCCCGCCTAGCGGTCCATCATCCTCGTGGGGGGCTGTCTCCCCATCTGGGCTCCCTCTTCCCACTTAGAGACTCTTCTTCTCATGTGAGGTCCTAGAGGCTACAGGGTCGCTATGAGTCGGTTTGGAGGGCAGGGAGCTTTGGGATCTTGTCCCTCTCCTCCCTGTCCTGAGGTCCTGCCTCCCCTGGGTCCCTCCTCCTTACCTGGAGTCCCAGAGTCCGTCTCTCCACCCGGGGTGCTGGGGTCCCTCCCTCTCTGCCCGGGGGAGGGGTGTCCTGCCTCCCCTGGGTCCCTCCTCCTTGCCTGGAGTCCCAGAGTAAGTCTCTCCATCTGGAGTCCTGGGGTCCCTCCTCCCTACCCTGAGGTCCTACCGCCTCCTTGCCTGGAGTCCCAGAGTAAGTCTCTCCATCTGGAGTCCTGGGGTCCCTCCTCCCTACCCTGAGGTCCTACCGCCTCCTTGCCTGGAGTCCCAGAGTAAGTCTCTCCATCTGGAGTCCTGGGGTCCCTCCTCCCTACCCTGAGGTCCTACCGCCTCCTTGCCTGGAGTCCCGGAGCCCTTCCTCCCTCCCTAGAGTCAGTCTCCCCGGTGCCCCTCCACCCCGTCCGGGTTCCACGCGAGTCCCACCGTCCCCGGGCCCCCGGGGCTCCCGCACCTTGTGGCAGGCCGGGCAGGTGGGCCCGGGCGCGCCCTTGCCCCCGCCGAGGCTGCTCTGGATCTGCGTGAGCTCCTGGCGCAGCACCTGCTTCTGGTGGAAGCTGAAGGCCGGGTGGTTGGAGGCCATGGTGAAGAGCAGCAGGAACTCATCCCCCGTGCGGCCCTCGTTGAGCTGCAGCCCGTAGTTGTGGATGACCGAGTCGATGTGCGTGAGCGTGCGGTAGAGCACGCCCGCCGCCTCGCGCTGCTCCGAGCCCAGCAGCGCCAGCGACACCAGCAGCTTGCTGCGCACCACCTCGTCCGTGAGGTTGGTCAGGCCGCCCAGGTCGGCCGGGTTGTTGGCCTTGATCTCCGAGTCGCGCAGCGAGTGGTAGTCCTTGCGCGCCAGGTCCTCGAGGCACGAGCCCAGGAAGCGCAGCTCCAGCGGGATGCACAGGTCCAGCAGGCCGCACAGGAACTCCACGCGCTGCGGCGACGGCAGCTCCGAGAACCAGCGGTACACGCCGTCCCTCTGCAGCGGGCAGCGCTTCTCCACCATGCTGCCGCCCGC